TAAAATTAAACATCTAAGAATCTTCCTTTAGACCCAATAACAACCAACAACCAAAAAAAAAAAACTGACAATGAAGACAGAGTGGGAGTAAGATTCCATACAATTACCACAAAAGTATGCAAATTTGAGAGGTATTAGCTAGTCCAGAGAGACACTTACTTAAGATCTTATGCGATTCTTGAATTTCCTTCCATGGGGATTTCCATTCCAAGAATCTAATAAGAGGGAGATACAGGAAATTCACTTCAGTTAGGGAAGAAAGCGGGGATGATTAAGGGGTTCTCTTTGTTGTGGGGTATTTGAAAAGTTAGGAATTTTGCACCGCATCGCAGGTTACTTCAAGTTATGTCGAGACAGGACGAAGATGGACTAATTTTGCAGAATTTCATGAGATGAGACCTGGGATTCAACAAAGATCCTTTCTTTTTTAGCAAGTTTTTATTTTATTTTATAATTATACATGACATAATTAGATATAAACTTATTTAAATAGCTCATTTTTTACAAATTTATGCAGTAGTAAAGTTAATTATTGCTTTGCATAAAGTATTAATTATTTTTTAACTGAGATTTTAGTACTCGCACCCGTCTCTATAAAGTCGTGAATTCAAATCAGATTGTATTTTTTGTGTGTATTTTGCGAAATTTTTATGAGGTTTAAATTTTGTAAAAATATTTCACTTTTTGTGAGCGACGAAATGTTAGAAAAAATAAAGTTAAAATAAAAATTTTGTTCACCTATTATTTATTATGTTTTATTTGTTTAATTTTATGTCAATTTAATCTATCTGTTTTTCATATAAGATTTGAATTAGTTATATCTTGTTATTAAGATTTAATACTGTTAACTTCATATACTATTATGAAATTTTTTAACACATAATATTTTTTCAGTAGATAAATTGTCACGTTAAATTCTACTTAACAGTTAAATTATTTAATTTGGATTAATTTAAACATATCTAAATATAAAAAATAAACAAAAAAAAATCTAATTTTCTTAGATTCCTAAAATTCATCTTCTTCTTCTTTCTCCCACACTCCGAATGGGAGGGATCCAATGAAAGTAAACACAAATCTCGTAAAGACTCGGTATTTATAATGAAAGAGAACAAGAGAATAATAGAGAGTCTAGTTTATGTGGTCATTAGAGCCATGCTATGCCTCTCTCCCTTACAATGTTGCTCAAACTCTTTCTAAAGTCATGTGTTTTCCTGTTGTGTTTTCCATTTATATAACATAATTAATGAAAAATTATAACACTTTTTTCTATAAATGCGATGTGTACAAAATGTGGCTAAAATTCTCGACCATCAAAACGATATTGAATGAGATGTGATTGGGAGTGAGCATGGGAAGAAGGAGGAGAAGGAGGTGCGAGAATTAAATTAAAAATATTTCAACTACCACGATATCTAAGATGAGAGTAAATCTATCAAAAAAAAATTACGTATTAAAAAATTTCACACGAGACATATGTAATTAAAGATATTATATTTTAATAATAGAGATAAGATTCTACTTCTAGTAAAATTTAAAGGCGACCAAAGCTTACTATGCAAGTTTAGTTGCCAAATAACTTGTTTATAGAATAAAATTTAGTTTTTATATCTAGAATTCCATATATATATATATATAATATAATTACGTACAAATTATTTTTTTTTAAAAAAATCAATCTAAATTATATTTTAATATAAACCACAAATTAAGTTAAATTTATATTTCAAAAAATCTAAAAATAATAGTTTGTATAAGCTTTAAACGACCATTAATGGGTTGCAAACATAAAATAAATCTATAAAATTATCATTCAATATATCTTTCCATTTCATAATTATTATTTGGTCATGTCATGTAGGTGTGTGTAAAAAGACAAACACAAAACCATGGTCAACTTGATGGCTGCTTCTTTATTCTTTATGGTCCCATATACCATACATTAATTAGCCTCTTCATCTTCTTATTATTGCTTATACATATATATATATATATATAGACACATACCATCACACATATATATATATGTACGTATACATACAATCATTATTTGAGCATCTGGCAACCAGCATGATATTGTAGAGGGATGTCATTTTTATATGCAAATGAAGTGTTGAGAGTGATGATGATAATGTGAAAAGACATTTAGAGTAGGGTGATTATGGGATTTCCTGAC